GTGCGCTCTACCTCTGGCCGTGGAGAAGACGGCGCGAACAGGTGTCGTTGACGCACTTTGAGCATTTCCGGATGCAAATTAATTCTCGGGAGGCGTTAGGTTGACGGCGTGTGTAGTTGCGTGGCCGCGGGTAGAAGCTTTGTGGAGGCGGAAAGTTCCGACGGTGGATTTTCGACATCGGTTGGGTCGGGGGGTGTGAATTATATTGTAGAGTTCGGTTGCTCTGATCGTGATTTTGCGGGGGGTTTCCTTCGGTACGTTCTTACCGAAAGCCGGAGTAGTACCATAAACATCGGGACACAGATTGTGTGGAATGGTCTTACCCATCTTGTCCCTTCTATTTCCGTGGTTTTCTTTGGTTGATTCCTGGCAAATGCTGGAGTTGTACCGCAAACAGCGGGACACGCATCGTTTGGAATTCAATATTTTTTCCTCTATATCAAAGTATAAAAGAAAAATTTTTCTAAAACATTTAATACCGGTCCCCACTAGGACAGGTCGTTGAAACACTTTGAGGATTTCTAGATGCTAGATTCTAGGAAGGCGTTGCGTTGACGGCGTGTGTAGTTGCGTAACCGCGGGTAGAAGCTTCGTGGAGGCGGAAGGTTCCGACGGCGGATTTTCGACATGGACTGGGCCGCAGGATTGCACTGCTTGGGAGTGAGTTGAAGGGCTCAGTAGAACAAGGGGATATCCTTGTTCTTTGACCTAGTTCTGAGATATTGAGGGTTTTACATGAACGTTCATAATATAACTCAATAAAACCTTTAAACACAGTCCACTTGCATATAAGTCGAAGCTGGATTTAAGTAACACCCCAAAACTAAAATAATAACATTTGAATTATATTTAATGCCAATAGCTCATTTTCACAAAATGTGGGATAGCCCCATGTTATACTGAGCCCTTTAATTATAGAGGTCGGTTTGCTCTGATCATGGATTTTGGGTGTGTCCACTGCTACATTCCAGCCGAAAGCAGGACCAGATAAACATGGGGACCGAACCGTGTGGGACTCTTATATTCATTATCTTGCCCCGTATATCAAAAGTATAAAAGAGTCATTTTCTAGTAAATATTTAATTCCGGGCGAATAATTGCACGAATTTGCGATTTCGCATGCTTTGTGTTCTGGGAGGTACGATTAGGACAGGTATCGTTGTGCACTTTGAGGATTTCTGGATGCAAATTAATTTTGGGGAGGCGTTGTGTGGGGAGGTGATGCGTGTGTAGTACGGTAGCGAAGCCGCGGAAGCTTTGTGGAGGTGGAAGGTTCCAGCGTGGGCTGGGTCAGAGGACGGCACTGCCGGTGTATAAATTCTTGAGAAAGGTAGTTCTGGTCGTTCATTTTCGTGGTTTTCTTTTTGTTCATTCCTTCGGAAAGGCCGAGTAGTTACATAAACATCGGGACACGGACTGTGTGTATTTCTATATTCCCAACCTTCTCTGTGTCATGAGTATCAAAGAAAGACACGTTCTAGTACTTTTTTCATTCCGGACACCTTATGAATTAGATGGTTTTTATATCATTATTTTTTATTATTAATATTATTTTTATTGTTTTATCAGCTGTTTTTATTGTTTCTATGATAATTATTATTATTATATAATTTGCATGCTATCTATATTATCTTATTTATGTAATTAGCTGCCACCGGGTTATGCCATTTGCAGTTGAAATAAATTTATCTTATCGTATGCAGATGCGATTTCGCGAGCTTCGTGTACCACCGGGAGATTTTGTATTTCAGTCCCTGCGTGGACGGATTTGTCACACTAGCTGAATAGCTGGGTCGGTTGCGAATTCTGTACTCCAAATAAAACAATGTTCCTTGAAGGACGTGATCTAGCAGGAGGGAGACACTGTCATCAAATCGCGAGCTTCATTGCGTCTTAAATTTTTGGTATAAAGCTCACGATTGAATGACAGCCTATCTCTTTTCAGCTCGCGACCTTGAAGGTACCCTGTTTTAATCAAAGTATAAGGTAAGGCTGCTGTGATCGGTCTTCTCCGAGACTTCTTCTGCCCGGTTACAGTGGGTAGTGTATAAGCTGGATCGAACGAAGGACTTTTTCGTGGTCTGAACTATTCTACCTATTATATTTCTTGATTTCTTCACATGAGTATGCATCTATTTTTGACTTTGTACTGTCCCAACACATCTCGTATATCTTTGTCAGCTGTACGGAAAGATAAAGGTCGGTAACTACCACAGCATGCGCTAATGGCTTTCTCCGGGAAATCTCTGAAAGTACCCTTCTTTAAAGAAAAAACACACTTCTAACTTCAAAATAAACAATAACTTATTGTAACTTCGAAAGCAAAACAAAATGAAACCATCACCATACTAAAAAAAAACAATCTCAAACAGATCTCGACCTACCTATCGAGCTAGAGTCGAAAATCCTGCCGCCGCCGGGACTCGAAACCCTAAGCCGTCCCGCTCAGTGGCACTGCAGTGACATCAAATGGTGCCCTAAGCCGGTTCCCCCTTTGCAAATAATCCTGAGCCGGTTGGTTGGCAAACGGTAATTATTGTAATGCATCTTAAATTATTGAACAACCGATAGAAACCAAATATGCTACTTTTTAACTAAGGTTTAAATGAAACGTTGGAAATTTTGATCGGGTGGCATTCGCGCGTGGGCCACCGCGCCCCGTCCTCCGGCGCCGGGGTGGCAAGAAGCGAGCCGGCGGCGGCGGCGGCGGTGCGTGATGTATGGAGCGGCCGTTAGAGGGCGCTGAGTGATGGAGTGCGGGCGCCGGCCGACGCGGGACGGCGGTCTTCCGGGAATACGGAACGGGAACCGCGACCTGCCATCAACACCGCTCACGGCCAAGTCGGTGGGACTAAAAATGTCCCGAGATAGAAACGGCTCTGTTTCTTAGGCGTAGTACCGCCCCGGGAAGCGAAAAAGAAAGAAAGAAAAAAATAAAATAGATAGGAAGGGAAAGAAGTGAAGAATGAAAGAATAATTTTCAGCCTTCCCATTCATCACGCGCATGTCACTCGTAAGCTCTTGTCAATCACACACAGAACGGTTTAGGTGGTTAACAGCATCAAATATTGACACTGCAGTGCCTCTGACTGGGATGTCCTAGTGTTGGAGTCCCGACGGTGGCAGAAGTTTCAACTCTAGACACATAGCGAGGTCGAGTTCAGTCATCTGGAGGAGAATTCTTGCAGCCACCTGTTCTAATAGGTAGATCTCCGTGGTTTCTCCAATCAACGGCAGGCGAATGCCGGAGTAGTACACTAACAACGGGCCACGTACACATACTTTACGTACACATACGTACAACTGCACTTACATGTACTATACTGCTATACATGCCGGGAGACCGGTCAGGAGCTTAGAGCTTGTTCCGGCTGGAGATGGAGATACCTGGTTGGG